GAAGGCGGCCTCCAAGCGGCCGGAGACCGCTTCCCAGGGGGCAGGGACCCTCGCTCCGCGGCGGCTCGGGCGACACGCGGAGCCCAAGAGACCCGGTCGCCGGCCGCCCCGGGGCCCAGTGGGCGGGCGCGGTGATAATGGAGAGACGTACGGATTCGTGAAGACCGGAGATCGCCAGCCTCTAGAGCATCGCCTTTCCTGACCAAAAACAAAAATGAGAGCGGGAGCCCGGAGGGCGCGCCACCCAGAACTCTCATCAGGAATTCACGCTCCTAGGTGCTAGGGTGGCCTGGGCAGGTCAGATGCTGGGAAAAGTTTTATGCTCCGGAGGGGATCGACGTGTTGGGGGATGGGGTGGGACAGAAGTTTCTATTAATACACGTTTCTTCCAGTGTACAAAGCCTCAGGCCTTATTGTAGCCTCAGGAGAATAATCCTAAGGATGAGGCGGATTTTATGATCTCCATCTCACAGGGAGAAAACGGAGACTCAGAATAGCTGAGGGATTTGCAGACATAGTGTCAATGCTGGCAGGAATAGAATTGTCTCCAAACCATGATCCTTTATACCAAGTGGCTTTCAATGTAAGTTCCAGGTGAGGCTTAAACTTCCTGCCACCTGGGTATCTTTTCCCGCTGCACTAATAGGTAAAAATCCCATCCTCTCTACAGCGCTGGAGCCCAGTGGAGGGAAGGGCTGAACGCCCAGAGAATGCCCTGACTAGGGAAGCCTCTGCTGATCCCTCCTACAGCAGATCTGCCTCAGAGCCTCCAGGACACATCTTAGTAACTTCATGTCTTTTCAGTGTATATATGTGTGATGGAAAAGGGGAGTGAGAAACCCCACTCTTAGGTATTGGTTTCATCACCACTCTGGGCTTTGGTCAAGTCACTGAATTTCTTTAGGCCTGCATCCCTCCACGTATTAAGTGGTGAGGGATGAACTGCCATTTTTATCAACAAGGAAAGTTAGGGGAAGATATGAGATGACCTCTGAGAGTCCTTTGAAGATATGTGTTGTCTTCCAGGGCTAATTTTGAAATAAAAGGCTAATAAACACAT